TGTGTGTGTGTGTGTGTATCTGAATATAGATTACATTAAAAAAAAAATAAAGTATACTACACTGTATGTATATTAAAGTACTTTTAAAATCATATTTAATAGTTAAATATTGAAGTGCAAGTCAGACAGTTTGGATTTGGTTAATTTACTCAAATTCCAAGTAATAGATGGTTGTAAAGTCACGCAAAGAAAGTCTGCCGTGTATGTCAACATGCAAGACTTCTGCATATTACGTGAGACTTTCGGTCTTTGATTGTAAAATACGACTCAACTCAATCCAACTCTACCACTGGCCATGAGATTCCCGTGATGCTGAAATTGTAATCCCAGGTCATGACATGTGTTTTTTAGGATGAAGTTAGAATGGAAACAAACAAGTGCGTTTTTTTTTTTTTTAACAGCACTCTGCTGTATTTATTCTGTTTCACACCAGAAATTGTGTTCATATTTTGTGGTTCCACCGTTTGGTCGTTCCTCTCCACACAAATGCGCAGTGTTTGTCTTTTTCTTCCTTTCCCCTCACCCTGAGGCGCACTTGGCCCGTACCTTTTTCTGTTGATAAATCAGCACTCTGAGAGCTCAGTCAACCCGACCATTTCTCTCACTTCTTAAATTCCCTCGTGCACTTGTTTGACCGAACGCCTCTCCTCACTCATCGATATTCCACCTTGCCTGTGCAGCCACATGTCACTGAGCAACGCGGATTACATTTTGCAGAAACAACCGTACTGGCCTCCCTTTTCATGCGTTAATTCAGATGAGTGCTTGCTTGGTGGGATTAACCTCCTTCCTTGTGAACCGCTAATTAACTTGGGTTTGGGTGTCGTCAGTTTTTTCTATTTACTGTGGAAGCTTAAAGAGTTGAAATGACTGTGTTTAATTTTGTTTGTGCAGGATTTTGGTGAGTACCAGGAGAGTTACTACTCTGTGCAGACCACCGAAGGCGAGCAGATCTCCCAGCTCATTGCGGGTTACATCGACATCATCCTGAAAAAGGTGAGGCAGGCGTTCACCACATGAGCAAACGGCCATCGTTCAAAGGGAGATAACATCTATTTGTGTGCACACAAACTTCTACTTTGTTGAAGCACCTTTTTGCTAGATTAATCTACTCATTTTTTTTCAACCCAAGACAAGCTGTATACTATATTTCATAAACAAAGGCATATTTTTCTCTTTAATAAACCCTGTGCAGAAACAAAGCAAGGATCGTTTTGGACTGGAGGGTGACGAGGAAGCAACCATGCTTGAAGAATCTGTATCCCCTAAAAAGTAAGTCCGTAAGACACACCAAAATAGGAAAACATTTATTTATTGTCATCATACAAGATCCCCACCACCACCACCACCGCTTTCCCCCTCCCAGAAATTATTTGCGAAAAGTCAGCTGAATGAGGAAAGAAAGTCTTTAGACCTCTATAATCTTGAAGAATAACTAATACGCAGAAGCTTGAGCGACAGTCTATTCTTATCAGTTGTGATATGATGGTGTTATTACAATAACACGATGGTGTTATTACAATAACACAATGTTATTACATCATAGTCTTAACAAAAACAACATATCACACCGGGTCCTTTTTTTCCCCCCCAATTTCCTCATCCATACCAACACAGTTCACACATCTCTCCTCCAGGACTTCATTTCACCACAGTAGTGCTTCCTCCTCAGGACTTTATCCCGGGAGATAATCTCTCGAGGAAATTTTGTCGCACTGGAAAAGCGAAGGCTCGATCCACACATTTCCTGATTAGACGCCCAGACTCATTTTGCCGTCCTCGTCTCAGTTTCCTGTCGAGGCGATCTCATCTTTCTTTTGTTTTGTTGTGTGTCACCAACTAATGCTGCTCGGTCGCGCCTTCAGGTCCACCATCCTCCAACAGCAGTTTAACCGCGTGGGCCGGGCGGAACACGGCTCCGTGGCGCTTCCCGGAGTGATCCGATCCGGCTCCATCGGCACCGAGTCGCTCAGCGTGGGCTCCATGCCGTCTCCTCAGCAGCAGATCACCATGGGTCAGATGCATCGTGGACACATGCCGCCGTTGGTAAGCCTATGCTGGCTCACAGAATGATTCAAGTGAAATTTTTACTTAATGGGCCAGTGGCAAAAAAAATATTTTACTATTTAAAATCAGCTTGTCATGACTTGGTACAGTGCCCCACCAGACCAGCTAAGTTCTGCTGTCTAACTTGCTTGACGTAATCTAGAAGTTCACTGTCAACATCAATGTTTTGATGATTTTAATGATGAAATGGAACAGTCCTAAAATGGTGCAGGCCATACTTGGAGGAAAGGAGTTACTCTCTTCCCATTGGAAATTTTACTCAAAGATCTTCTGTTTTCCTTTGCAGAGTTCAGCCCAGCAAGCTCTAATGGGAACCATTAACACCAGTATGCAGGCCGTGCAGAAGGCCCAGATTGACCTCGGGGAGGTCGACGATCTGCTTCCATTAGGACAGGACATGGTATGTACTGTGTTTCGATCATGAATGTGACCACAGCCATAGTACAACGTCACATACACTCTATGGACAAAAGTACTTACTTTTCAATGACCCTGTACTGTGTATCTCATGAATACATTTAATCCGCACATGTCTGATGTTGTGTGCAGGCCTCCAAGGTTTGGATTCAGAACAAGATGGACGAATCCAAACACGAGATTCACTCTCAGGTTGACGCCATCACTGCAGGAACCGCTTCCGTCGTCAACCTCACTGCCGGTCAGTAGCCGCCACCATGTTCGTTTATTTATTTATGTCTCTCTAATCCCTCTTTCTTCAAAATGTCACTTTTTGAATCATTTCTTCCCACTAGGTGACCCGACTGACACGGACTACACGGCAGTGGGCTGCGCCATCACCACCATCTCTTCCAACCTGACCGAGATGTCAAAGGGCGTTAAGCTGCTGGCGGCTCTCATGGAAGACGAGGTGGGCAGCGGCAACGACCTGATGAAGGCTGCCAGGACACTAGCGGGAGCCGTGTCTGACCTGCTCAAAGCCGTGGAGCCAGCCTCCGGAGAGGTGAGGGGAATCACTCGTTAATGGCAGGTTGATTTGCTGTGACTTAAACAAGACATCTGTTTGTAATGTTTAAAAATAGGCAGCTGATTATCACTGAAATGTGTGGGTGGGTGTCATATGGACAAAGAATGAAGCTGTTCAATCTTGCAAGCCCCAAACCCACATTGGGTTTGGGGCTTGCAAGGATTAGGCAAAGTCCATGAGGGATTGATTTGTAAATTGTACCATAGACCCCCAAAAATACTTCTGAATGTAAAATACATCACTTTATAATTACAGTATTGTCTTCCTTCCCCTATATGAACAATATACAGTTGTTCTTTGCACATTTTTAGTTTTTATTTTGAATCAAAATATTATTTAAATATTGTTAATTGATTTTAAAATATATATTGTCTGTTATCCTTTATGTATGGTTTATTCTTATTTTTTTAATTATTATTCAACAATTATTTAAGATTGGCATTTCAAATGGTTGAATGTACCCAATCCTTTCTCTTCAATGAGTGTTATATTCCTCACCTTTTAAACTAAAACAAGAATATCAAAATGACAAATACAGCTTTTTTTTTTTTTTTTTTTAACTCAGCGTCATATTTCAGAGGTTAAAATGTTAATTGGCAGTTTATTTGAATGGACTTTAAGGACAAGGTAGCAAGCAAGTTTTTTCTTTCTTTCTTTTTTTTGTGTGTTTGTTTTGTTCTGGTGACACACGGGGCTTTCCATATAATTACTTTTCTTTGTTGTGCCCAAATTAACTACGCGCGTAGAGGTCCGGAATGAAATGTGCAATCTCTGAGTAATACGACTCTGTCTTGACATTTTATTAAATGTGCATGTATGTTGTGCTGACTGCATAAAGACTTGTGACTGATGTGACGCTGGCTGCAAGGCATTTTCAGTCTTAAATGGAAGACAGCAAGTGGCCTGTTGACTCGCGTACTAATGAATAATGGAGTTTATGGACTTGTGCTGCAGGACTGTAACGATCTTCCTGACATTTGTTCAAAGTTGTTTGTTTCTCCTGCAGTAGGAGAAACATTTGTCAGCTCATAAAAATGCATAGCCCTTATCAGTCCCTTTACTGTCGGCACTTGTATGTGTGTTTGTCTAACGATGGTGGAGAATTAGAGATGCTCTTTCATGTTGTAATATTTTGAAATGCAGAACTCAGGCAATGTGAAATACCTCAAACAGATTCAGGAGGAGCCCTTTGTCAAGCAGTGTGTGCGCGCGTATGTGTGTTTTAGCCCAGACAGACGGTGCTGACAGCAGCAGGCAGCATCGGCCAAGCCAGTGGAGACCTCCTCCGCCAGATTGGAGAGAACGAAACAGATGAGAGGTTCCAGGTAACCATGGTGCTCATTCACTTGTCAAAATGGTGCGCTTCAAGCTGTGTCTACACCTTCAGCTATCATGACTATTTTGAAAAAGTATTCAAGCATTCCGAGGCTGTCCACCAATCATATTACAGAAAAGGAAAAACATGACGGCTGATAATGTACAGTATTAATTATTCATGAATATCACACTTTAAATATCAATTTAGTTGATCAAAAACCACATGCAAAAGCATAAATTGTCTCATATAATCAGTTAACAGTCTGCATTATGGTCCCATACAAATCAGTTTCCCCTCACAATGTTGTTTTTCACCAAAACACACCTATATAATTCCCCAAATTTTCAGAAAAGCTTGTTATCAAGAGCTGTGGGAGCAAAAATAGGTGAGCGTTAAAGAAAAAAAAAGGAAGAAAAAGTCATAGTTGCGGCTATGCAAGGGCAACCAGTAAATTTTAATAGCTTTTGCAATTTCAGTGAAAGATTTCAGATTGGAACAGTAACACAACATAAAACAATTTTGACAACATAAAACGAAAGTGCTGTGCGACCGTGCTCGCGGGCGGATTTTCTGTCTTTTGGTATTATGCTAGACTTTGCACCATGATAATTGGGTTTAATGGTGCGTTTTCACCTTTGTGTGCTATTGGGGGTTGGAACGTAGCGTTTTCCTGGCCAATCCTCGCTGCATCGCTCTTTTGCATCAAAATCAGGGCAGTACTCCATGTTTGACATGAACAGAAATTAGGCTCACTGGAGCTCGTGCGTGACATTGACACGTAAACGTTAATATCGCCCCTTTTGGATGATGTAGTCGTGCTTGTGTGTGTGACGTGGGGAAATTGAAGACCTTTTTGCACCTCTGCATTCCCTCCATCCAAGATATGTGTTACATTTCCAAATCGAGTGAATGATTCTTTTGGTTTTGCTTCCTGTGCAGGATGTCCTCATGAACTTGGCCAAGGCGGTGGCCAATGCCGCCGCCATGTTGGTCCTGAAGGCAAAGAACGTGGCCCAGGTCGCAGAGGACACGGTTCTTCAGAACCGAGTCATTGCCGCTGCCACTCAGTGTGCCCTGTCCACCTCGCAGCTGGTAGCGTGTGCCAAGGTACTGCATCGACCGCAATAAACCTTGTCAAGTGTTCATCTCTCTTTATCATCATGACATTTCCTTCCATGTGCTTGTAGGTGGTGAGTCCCACGATCAGCTCCCCGGTTTGCCAGGAGCAGCTCATCGAAGCCGGGAAGCTTGTAGACCGCTCTGTGGAGAGCTGCGTCCAGGCTTGCCTCTCGGCCACAGAGGACGGAGAACTCCTCAAACAGGTCGGTTGTTATTACCTTTGCCAAGGTGGCCGTTGTCTTCTTTTTATGGTCGTTTAGTATTTCAGTTGTTTCGTAGAAAGGGTTCTGTCAGTCGTCATCTGTACCTGTGGGTAAAAAACAAAAAAAACAAAAAAAAGCAAAAAAGGACGTTTCGCTTCTCTCACAGAAGCTTCTGTGAGAGAAGCTTCTGTGAGAGAAGCGAAACGTCCTTTTTTGCTTTTTTTTGTTTTTTTTGTTTTTTACCCACAGGTACAGATGACGACTGACAGAAC